ATCGACTTGCTTGTCCCACCGTTTACAACACTTCACAACTTGGCTGACTATGGCTAAAGGCAGACAAGTGGAATTTGCTTTATGCATTTGGTTCATCAAGTATTTGTTCTGCATGTTCGGGAAATTCTGAGTGCCAAGCAGATACGCTTGTGTGCCTCTAAGTTGACGGGCTAGGCCATGCGCAGGCCTTGAAAGGCTTGAGCATCAAATGATCGCAGCCCTTGGTATGGGGGAGGCCTCCTACGAGCGTCTAGCAAAGCCTCTGGAAGACCATTCTGTAAAGGGCTGGCCATGACAACATGAGCGGTCGAAAAAAAAAAAAGAAAAAAGAGACGCGATAACTTCTAGCCGATGCCCTTTGGTAGTATAATCGCAGCAAATGTAGATTCGACTGATGTCAACACAAACAACCTAGGTGTTGATTGGTTTTGCTTTTGCTGCAGATGTCCGTGACATGTGATAGTTCTTCTGTCGAAGCATGTGGAAGTGATCGATTCCGTCTGCTAGCGCAGACGTGCGGTGCCAGGATTCGGGCAGTGGCACCAGCAGCGTGGAGCAGGCGACGGGGTGAAACCGCTGTCAAAGCCCGGCTTGTCGAACGGAGCCACCTCGCTCCCCTGCAAGGGATTCCTACCCTCCATGCCATGCCAATTTGAGGAAAGGGAAATTGTCCGTGATGCAAAGTGGAGAAGCAGAAGGGATAAAGGGTAGGAATCAGGTGAACTGTGGGAAGTTGGATATGAGAAATCTACAAAGTGGGCTAGGGGTTTGGTTTGGCTGAACTTTGACTTCCAATCCTTTCGTACAGCCATTATTTGCTGAAATGTACTCGTGAATGGTTCCGGTGTTTACACTCAGCGTGTGCTCGACTGTCACCAGTGTCAAGGCCTTGGACGGCAGCTTGCAATGCAGTCTAAGGGGTGCAAGTTTTGCACCAACAGACTTTAGATGTTTGAAGTTCAAGACCTGACAGGTGAAGCTTCGCAGCCTGCGATTCCACATACGAAGTTTGGCAATGATGATTTTGTGACTTGAGGTGCCTTTGAGGTCCAGAAAGCATGGACCTTACATGACCTTTCCTAGCAAAAGGGAAAACAACAAGTGGTGTCCTGCAGATGTGATGGTAGATGACTTGGTCGATTCGGTTGTTGAGGTCTTTGTTTGGATCATCTGTGATTGCTGGTCTGGGTGGTTCAACCTCTAGTCGATGAATGCGCTGCTGACTGCATCTGGAAAGCCGTTAGCCCATGTTGGCTCGCATCGTTTGAAGCTCCAAGCCGGGTGGGGCGCAGTGAGAAGGGGCACGCGGTCGTGTGATACACTTGGCCCGCAGCTGTTGCTTTGTTGAAGGCTTGGCCGGTTGGGCTCATTTGCACACTGTGGTACAACCAACTTTGATTCCCAACCACTCTTAAACGCCTGCTCCAGGAGGCTACTTTGCCCCCGCGCATCCATCCACGCAGCCACTTCCCTAGTTGCGCACCCACCCGCTCTTTCGTGGAACCGGCCTTCTTGCCTAGACCGCTTGTTGAAGCCTGATGTCGGCAAAAAAAACACCCCCACGACTCTGGTCCCCTATTCTCCATATAGCTGTCTGTCCTGCCAGGCTCACGGTGAGAAGAAGAAGCGCCCCGTCTGACATAGTTTCGTGCTTGTTTGGAGGCTCCCAGATGAGGTTTCGTCATGCTTTCCAGTCTGTGGTTTGGAAAGGGACGTGGGGAATTCACTAAGTTTCTTTTGTACTTTAGGGTATTGAAGATTCATATGGAACCCGAAAACAAAAAAACACGTTTTAGAGGGGCCTCCTTTCTCAGAGTTCTTTTGGGTTCTATGTTAATCTGTGAGTAACTCATTTTGAGCGTGGCTCACGCAGTTGCAGGCATCCAAGACTTAAAACACGGGCCTTTCGCCATTCGCCCTGGTTTGCTTGCTGTGTGGTGCAGGCATCGGTCCGGGATTCTTTTGGTAGGGATGGAATCGTAGGCGTCCTTCTTGGTTGTTTTGCTCGAAAAATAGATGACGATTCCTGGTTTATTTTGTTGTTTAATCATCTACCAGGGAAACACATCTATTTCCTAACCATCACAAGAGCAGACTTCAGGCAACCAACGGCCAAGGAGTTTCAACCATGGCAATTGTCAGGTCAGGTCTCGCTTCTTCAAATCGGCGAATTCGTGTGGCTATGCGTGTATGTTTGCGCATATATGAGGAGACAGCGGCATTGTGCGGTCAATGGGGGGATTCTTCTGGCGGCACTGAACGTATATCTGCAGCCAATGAGGAAGATCACCTGTTTATTGCTTTGGACGATCTGGCATGAGGACAGTGGGCCTATTGACTCAATTCAAAAAAACAAAGACGAGAGGAATGAGCGGCATCGGACCGATCTGAAGCCACCATGAGGAGTTCCTTGAACTGGGCTTCTTTTGAGCGCCGGGGGTGGTTGCACCGCATTTAAATGGGGTCCCCGATTTTCGGCTGGTGAGTGACTATATTTGTTTTTTCTTCCGGGCACGGATGGGAGTCAAGGCGAAAGAGAAGAAAAAAGAAAAGGTTGGCACTGGCTGAGTGGATGGCCCAAAAAGTGTCCAAACTTTATATTTACCACTAAAATGGTCTTCCCAAAAAGTTTAGTTCATGAACTCAGGAAGTGAGTTGGTGAGTGATGATATTTTGCCGAGATTGAAGCAGAAGAGGTTGACACCCAGCTATGCCAACTCCCTTCCAGTTGCTTATCCTGCCGTGTTTTCGCTCGACACGAAAGTCCAGTCCACTCGCCGGCATGGGAACTCGTTTTTTTTTTGAAATACGTATGGGTGAAAATTTGTCACCACCAAGGGAGTCGGCCCGCAGGTTTTAGTCAACGTGTCCGGTGTCCATGATTCCGCTTCGGGGTACAGCGAAATATTGCTGTGGTTGTCAAAAATAGGTACCCCAAATGGAACCCTGGTAAACGGAAAGAAGGACTAAAACCTGCGGTCCCCTGGTGGTTTTATTTTGACCCACACCCATATGTCTCGAATCAGTTCTTGTCACATTCAACTGGCTCTTGGTGGTCGCATTGGCCTGGAGCCCGATCAAGTGATTCCTTGGCAATGTCATGCTCTTGTGTGTGGGCCATAGATATTGGAAGGTTACCACCTTTCTTCCAGGTGCCAAGTGCACCAAGATCTTTGGAAAACTCCTTGGATGTGCGCATTGTGTGGAGATTTTACCTGTTCTTTCCCCCTTTGTTGGTCCCTCTTTTCGTACTCTCTCAATATTCGAATCCGGGGATCCACGGATTCGCCACATCCGAACCGGTTCGAACCATCAGCGGTGCCCCATGAGTCGGAGCTCAGGAAAGCCACGGACCCTTGGGCCTGGGAGGCATGGGATGTCTTTGCTCCGTTCGTCGCTCGGTGCTTCTTCGGCGTGTTTTGTTTTTGTTTTCTCCTTTCTTTTTTCTCACTTTGTGTTTAACTGTTAAAAACATGTTTTTAAACTGTTTTTCCATTTCTCTTTTTCCGGTGGAGGTGTCAACTGGGGTAAACTTAGGATACATGTTAGATTGTACCAGTGACTCAAAGGGAGGCAACGATCAGAATATATACATTCTATAACTGTGCCTAAGTCCAATCATGTCAAATAATTCAAATTATGAACGCATCCATGCTCGTATGTGTAGGCGGGTGCGCATGCGCACTCGCGCATGTGATTCAAAGATGCATGTTTATGTATATATATATATATATATATTATATATATATGATATATATATTTAGTTGGTGGGTGTGTGCGTGTGCGCACCCTCGCTCGTAGCTTCTGCTGGGAACTTTAAAGATGTCTAAGATTCGCTGCCTCCTTGTTCACTTTTCCACAGAACGAACTGGGAGGTAGCCATGTTTCGAGGATGTCGGCAGCAAATCAGATGTGTAGTGCACGCTCTCTGATCAGTGTGTGTGTGTGTGTGTTTTTTTCTAGTAATTGTGTCTTGCTAAACTGAGCAACACATGAGCCACTTGCTCAAAACCCAGGGAAGTGAAGGTTGGTGAGTGATATTCCCAACCATAGATGGGTGCAGCTGGCTTTTTGATTCTTTGCATGTTTCTTGGTAGATCATGTAGATCATTTGATTGTGACTGAGATGTTGGGTTGTATTGGCTGGAAAAAGGGTTGTACTCTTTGGCATGTGACATGTGAGTTTCGTGCGTGGAGAGAGGTCTCGCCGAGGCTGTCGATTCGTTTTTGCCGCAGGGCTCAGCGAAACGACGAAGCGAGTGCGACAACAAACACTTTGGTTGCAAAGGTCTTTTGGGACCAGCCCATGAAATCGGCAGTTTCTTCACCGGGACACACTGAAGTCGCCACAGGAGACTTTTTTTTTTGCGCGCAGAACAGCAAGGGGTTTGAGTCAAGTCAACTGTTTTGCATGAATGTACATGAGGCCACGCTTTGGCGGGTTTGCGTGAGCATTATTTTTGGGTGTCGGCAGTATCCAGTTGGGATTGGAAGAGTTTCTGCACAAAGGTCATGCCAATGTGGCCTGAGTCATGTACTCGTTATTCTCTGCTAAGTCTGGTGCAGTCTCAGGTGCAGTCTCAGGTGTAGTCTCAGGCCGAACGTTCCTGAACCCTTTAAGTCATCTCTTATAGCTCGTCGGGCAACCTGAGGAGTTTCCCCGTGCAATTTGTGTTGATGAGTTTGCATCGACAGCAACCGGCTAGTTGTTTACCAATGTTGTGGCCAGTTGGCGCAGGAGTTATTCAGGAGGCGCATTGATCTGTGTGCATGCGCTTTATTTGGCGTTTCAATGGTCGGCTTGATGGGTTGAACTTCGAACCAATAACCTTTTGGCAGCAGCTTGTTTACTTTGTACTAGATCCCATCAGGTGAGTACGTTGAGGAGCTCAAATGTGCTTGTAGGGGTGGTTTCCCTTTGAAGCACCATTTAGAGGGTCATGTTGCGGAGGCCGCTTTTTGTTGAACCCAGCCGTCGCCAGGACGGTGTTGTGACTGTGATGGTCAGGCCAGGAGTCGAAAACCGACGGTGACAGTCAAATGGTCTTGGAACACCCCCCACACGCCCGCCAAGCAAAGGTCGTAACCGAATATCTTGTCTTTCTTCAAAGGCAGCGTTGCCAAGTTGCACAGTGGTGCCCTTTGTTCCTTGTTCTGATTCTTTCGTTCCCATGGCAATCCACTGGGCATCTGAGGTTGGGAGGCCTGGTGTGTTGGGTCATTGTTTCAGGTGCACCGGTTTTTCAAAGGCCGCCAGGGATGAACACTCATCTCGGTCTTGGGTGGAACTCTGTTGCAGCCCATGAGTTTGATGGCCATTTCATATTGGTTGATGCGTGACTCGACGAATCTCGGGTAAACATGTGGCGACTCGCATGTTTTTTCTTTCCTTGGTTGCTTACTTGGACAGGGGCTTCAGATTTGTGGCAGGATTTCCAATGGCTGACAGTGTGATCATGTCTTCCATAAACTAATTCGCCTGTGACCCGCCATGCACGCCTTATTCGTGCATGCCCAAAAGCCAGCGGCATCCAGACAAGCTCGTCAAAGAGTGCACGCCCGGAGTACTTGTGAATCAAGTACAAACTCCATGTCACCTCATGCAATCAAGACCTGATTTGTTGTTCCCAAGTCATCCCAAGTCATTTATGTTCAAGAGGCAGACAGGGCTAGGGCGTCAGCATATGCTGACGCAGCTTGATCGGCCCTTCTTTGGCCGTGCTGCATGTCCTTTAGCTTGCTGTGCACGAACGCTAGCCTCACATGATCTACCAGCAGACGAACAGTTGCTTCTACCTGAAGACAAACATCAGCTTCTCGCCTTCTCGCACTTCCAACAGAGCCTAACAGCAATCCTTGCGCCTGGCAACTTTGGCCGGGATTGTCTCGGGCTCGTTTTGTTGAAACCTTGGTTCTGGGTTCGGCATCGTTGCTCTATATATATCTCAAAAGGCTCAATATTGCTTCAGCTCAAAGTTGAAAGCTTTTCGGTTTCACCATATCAATACATATCAGTTGATTCCACGCGATGTTTCTGGACACGCCGTTCCCCCCCTCCCAACACAACAAAGAACAAATACATACAACTTGCACCAGACTTGGCCCATTCGAGCACCCGCATAAACGATACGCCGTGCCTCACAGCAGCGTGCTGAGGCAGCTTCCCCGTCAGTACACGCAGCGCATGCTGCTTCAGGAGGCGCGTGGTGACTGTTTGCGAAACGAGGGCCTTGAACTTGGCAAGAAAAACAAGTTGGAGTGTAGGCCTTAGGGGACTGATCACTTTGGCTAGGTCCCTGGAATGAGGCCTTGCCACCAAAGAGCTTGAACGTGAATAAAACATGAACACACCCATGTTGAAGATCGTGACCATTTTTCCTCCGGAGCTGTTTCAACAGAATGGCTGGCCCCGGAATGGCCGGACCCCGTGATTCGCAGGAGCCTTGACCCCACGACTCAAAACCTGCAGAGATTGGTAGGCGGTAGGCTCGGCGCCACGGCCCTATGGCACACATCCAACCCATGTTTTTTTCTTGGTATGTCAAGTTTAGTCATCCCCTCTCATGGTTGTTGGGAAACACTTGGGTGTGGGTCAAAAATAAGCCACCAAGGGACCGCAGGTTTTAGTCTTTGGTTCCATTTAGCAGGGTTCCATTTTGGGTACCAATTTTGACCCCCAGCCACTTTACATTTTTGCTTGTTGTGGTTTAGTGGTTGAAATCCAACCACTTAACTTCTAAAGTGAAAAATTGTTTGCTCCCCAAACCCAACTTCAACCAAGCTCCTTGCCCACAGAAGAGGACAATTTTGAGCCATTTGCCTTCAGTGGCGGATGCCGCTGACCTCCGAAATGGCCGTCGCTAGCGGCCTTTTTGACCTGGCAGGTGGTCCGCCGGGGCTTTGAAGGACTCTTTGACTTCCTTTACCTCCCGCCAGGAGCTTAGGGCAGGCAAGCGTAGCACTCTGCAAGACTTGCTGCTCCGCTCCCATTAGTGGGGATGCATCACTGTTGGAGGGGAACACGCCCCCAATAATAAACTGGGGTTGATTAATATGATAATATGGGGTGAACATCAGGGAAGTGAGAGGGGAAGATCCATGAAGAGAGTGGCAAACGCCAAGCCGATCATCAAGCCTCGGCTTCGCAGGTGTGCCCCAACAATGGGAGCAGCCTTGCCGATCTGTGGCTGCAAGCCATTCATTTTGCCTTGCATGGTTCATGCTGTACCTGGCGCGGTCACTAGCTTCCTGCTTCACGACCTTCCGCACGCCGAGTATAGCGACTCTTGCTGAAGCCAGGTAGACGCAAGATCGGGGTTGCAGGTTTATGGGCAGAATGGTGCTGAAGCGCACTCAGGCCCGTCCACGCGGTAACCACGCCTCACCATGTTCCACCAACCTCGCTGCAAACTGTTGCAATGGCTTCGTTTGAAGTTGGATTTGGAGCCTCGACGAGTTGCTTCCAGCATTTTCCATCGATATGATCAGTACAATCTACACATTGAAGACGTGGAGTCTGATGTTGAAGGTACCCTTGTCACTTGGGTGTAAAGCCAAAAGGATAGCCACCATTTGTGGGCCTGCAAGTTCTGACACATACTGACATACATACTGTATATGGTGTATAATTTTATATCATACACGACAGACAGGGGTTCCTTATGAAGAATCACAACGTGTTGCAGAACCTTAGAGTGCGTATTCCTCTTGCATTGGATGTGAGGTTCAAACAGAAAGTGTAAGGAACATGGGGCTGCGAGGGAAAGTGTAATGTTTCCACAGCAGTCCCGCATCCCTTACAAGACGCATAGACCTCTCTTAAAGACTCCTTGTTTCGGGCGTTTGTCGTGACTCCGTTCCGAGGTATGATTTCAAGAAGGGCATCAATGTGGGCTATGGCTTCATCAATTTTACGGAGCCAGAGCCGAGCCCCCAGACGCAGCAAGTTGCTCGCAGAATTTGCGGTATGAGTTCATCTGATTTCGTCTGGCTTTTGACACAGACCAAGGGTCCACACAACAGCCTTGCAACATGTCCAAAGGTGCGGCACTGTTCTTTAAGTTCCAAAACCAGGGCTCCAAACCAGTTGAAGGATCCACATGCCGCTTGGGTTTCGGGCTTGATGCCTGTATGCATTCTTATTTCCGAGTCAACAAATTCTACGGCATCGATCACTTGCTAGAATTTGTCTATGGCCTCACTTGCTAGAAAAATGATCCTACCTTGGAAAACTTGGGCAGTCGGAAGGGCACAGAATAGGGACGCTTCTTGTCGGACCCATCCTCCACCTTAGGAAATAACCCCGTGAACAGGCAATGCGAGCTCATGGCAGTCATTCTCATCATTTGAGCTATTCATTGCCAGTTGTGGGAATTCTGGGTGTTAAATCAGAAAGGAAGTGGAATTCCCCCTTGCAAGTGGTTTCAAGGTTATTCCTTTTGTGACACTTGCAACACCAAAGGAATCCCCATTGAAGGTGACTTTTCTCACCATGGGTCCCCAAGGCCCACCTTGGCATCCCGAGAGGGTTATTGGCTGGTTCGTGCGTCGGACCACGCGCCGACCTTTTCTTCAAGTGCATTTGTGTGGGACGTTTCAAAGGGCAGGAGGCTTCTAGGCAGCGCATGCGATGGCGGGTTGAGAAAAAGAATCCCGCGTGGCTCGCATTTCGGAGTACATCTAGAAAGTAGAGCCCACCCAAAAGGGACTGACTTCATGTTGATATCCTTTTCATTGCCACCACGAGGGTTTCTGTCCAAGCTTGGGACAGCCGCTGCTTTCCGCTAGGCGGACATCTCCCCGGACAAACTGGATGATCTTTGAGGGGAGAACACACCATATCACAAAAGGATGTACCAAGGATTGTCAGCCTACAGAGGCGCAGTCTTCGCTTGGTAACCTCGGGGAGCTTGTCTTTTTCTTGAGCTAAGATGCGAGCATCTTCGAGCCCCGCAAGGTACGCTTTGCAATTCCGTGACTCTCTGGATGGACAGTACTTGGACAAGTACATGAGGCTCGCAACCGGTTTCGCCTTTTTTTCTTTATTTTCCGGGTGGTTTTGGGCCAGCCTTATTGGGAAGCGCTGGCTTGCCGAAAGGAGTGCCATCCTTGTAGAGAGGGACGCCTCCTAGAGTTGATGAAGTGATTAAGATTGACGACCGCAAGCTCAACCTCGGTATGGTCAACAATTGCCTACAGGGAGTGCAGGGACCACTACCAATGACTCGGTGGACACTCCCAGCAGCAGGGTAGGACATGTTCCGAACACGAGTCTCAAAACCTTGACTATTGGGTTGGATCTTTAGACTTTCGACTTTAACTTTTTGGGCAGTCAAGGGGTTTTCCACTAAACCCACAAGAAGTTAAACACTTTTTGCAGAGGGTTGAACAGCAGCCACGTAGCGGGTATTTTCTGCCAAGCTTTCGAGCCGAGTGGGGAGGATTGAAGGATTCAGTCCGGGCTGCAAGCCGCGTGTAGCCTGAAAGATCAGTCAGCATGAAAGTGTCTGAGGACGGGTTGTTGGTACCTTGCTTGACCAGCCAAACATTTGCTTTGCCCAGGTTGTATCAGACATGTCAAGGAGCAATATAACAGCAATTGCCAGTTGAAGGACCTAAACCCATTGGCAATTGTGCATCCGAGGAAGGTTTGCGGAGTGGCCACACCATGTGTTTGGAGCATGTAAGTTGAAAGCGGCAGTGCAACAGGCCGAGTCCAGCGCAGGAATAACCAAGAGTTTGAGCCTAGCATTCTGAGTACCATGTCTGGGACTCATGGACAAGGGTTTAGTGTTGCTGAACATGAACTCGCGTCGGCAGCAAGTTGCAAGGCATTCGCTGTTCTGCTCCACCCTACTTGAAACTGACACCACGCAGGATGTGTGTTGAGCTCGGCTCAAATCCTCATGACGGAACGCATTGGATTGCCTGCTTAATGCATTCGATCCGGCGGGCTAGTGTGGATTTTGTTGATCTCAACTCTCCACTGTGAATCCGCTAGCTTTTGTTGCTAGTGTTGCATGCCGCAAGAGGAGCAGACCTGATCTCCAGAGTTTTTTTGGTGCCTGGTGGAATTTCTGACCTGTTCTTTTTCCAGGTCACCGCTCCCCGCTTCCCGCTTCCGCAGGATGAAGGGCAAGGCGGTCCGCGTGCATCCTGCTCAGGTTCAGGGCTATGAGGCGCGGTTTGAGCACCGGGTGAGGTTTTTACGTCAGCCCTGCCTTGCCTAAGAGAAATCAGGTTTCGAGTTTCTGTTCTCCGAGGGTCTTCCTGCCAAAATGCGGGCGCATTTTGTTTTTCTTCCCTCCCCTCTTTTGTTCGTTTGACCTTTCTGGGTCGGAGCGGATCTGGGTGTTCACGCGTTCTGTGGCCTTCCAAGAGTGATGGGCAGGCCGTGAAGCCGTGTTGAAGCGCCTTTGCTCCGGCGAATGAATTTGATCGTTTCGGGGTTAGGACTGAGCAGGATAATGATATTGAGCACAAAGCCTGCGGCAGGACCCGTGAAAAATAGTATGCGGAGTAATGTTGGGTAGTGACTAGTAAAAGGCCCCCCCGCAAACAAAATTGGGGGGTGGGTCAATAGGGGAAAACCGACAATTCAAATAGAGTTGGGCCTGCTCAAGTAGTCTCTCAGTAAGTAGTGCTTAGTGCTGGTTTAGGAGTGTTTCAGCATTGGTTGAGCTGGCCCAGCACTGTTCCGGATTGGTTTCGTATTGTTTTAGAAATCCTTCGTACTGGTTCGGTAGTCTTTAGAATCGGTTTAGTATTTGTTTGGTACTCCTCAGTACTGGCCCAGGGATTTGTTTTGTCTCTATCGCTTCCCTGTACCACATGTTTGGGCAACTGTTTTAGTAAAGCGTGTCATGAAAAAAAGTCAGTTTGGGGCCTCAATTGGTTTTGCTGGCTCAGGGTTGGCATAGTATTGGTCTAGTACTACTTCGTATCGGTTTGGTGTTGATTAGTATTAGTTTGTCAATAGTTTAGCATTGCCAGGGCTAAGGATCCCTCAGCTTCCCTTTTGTTTGACCTCTAGAAGTGGGTGTGGCTCAAAATTAAGCAACTGGGGTTACGCAGGTTTAGTCTACCTGTCCATATACCAGGGACCCTCATTTTGGACCCCCATTTTTGAGCCACACCCAAGTGGCAGTTTCAAGGGAAACCACCAGTCAATTGCAACTTTTGATTTGGGGAAATCCAGTGACCCCCGATTTTGCACATGAGCATATGTCTAAATGGCGGGGTCTGGGTGCTCTCAGGCAAACTACCGTCACTTTGCGCACACCAAGACTGGTCAGAAGCAGGCGGGACTTTTCTGTATTCGCAGATCCCTGAGATGTAGAGAGTGAACACAACATACCGGCGGTTTAAGCAACACCCGGAAAAAGTGTGAATTGCTTTGTTCAGCAGCTTTGGAGGTGTGTGTGTGTGTGCGTGTGTCTCTCTCCCAGAAACACGCATGCACATCCCATCCACGCTTTATGGCGCATTCCTCTGACAGCAAACGATTTGGGTGACCTGGACAACCAACCAAGTTTCACTAGTTCCTTTCAGCAACCTCCAAAAAGATACATCCCAAAACCACCTGCTTTTGGAAGGGAGTCCTTGAAATCTGGTGAATGTTGTTTTACCTGGCCCAAGTGTATCCTGACCCAGTTCCATTTCGCCACTTTGGATCCGCTTGGCTTCGGGGCGAGCTTGCGAGGATCCGGCCTTTAGCCCCTTGTTCTTCTCGGCCCGGGACTCGGAGCCCGGAAGGGCGCTCGGAGCCCGGAGAAACACGGGGGTCCTGCGACAACGAAACGGACGGCTCAAAGTTTGTTTGGTTTTTTGGGGATTTTTTTTTGTTTTTTTTTTCTGGTGCAACAGCTTTCGAGGGAGTTGATCTCCGAAAATCGTGGCCGCCTGTCCTATCAAGGTATATCCCTGGCAAAGTTTGGGGACCCCAAGTATGATGGTTCCCTTGAAACCCACCCTTGAAAGGGCACCCTCAATTGGTGCCACACACTCCCACGTGAGGTTCGCCCAACAATTGCCGGTCGTTTATGGTCGGAGGGACATAGGGGATGAGCTCTAAATTGTCCCACAAACAGAAGGGAACTAACTAATCCCATGTCCTTTGGGGAAAGCAAATCGATTTCACCGTGACTGTGGGTGTTTCTCAAAATAGGGACCCTCTTTGGGGATGGTTTAAGAGGAAACCAAGAGGAAACCACCCACCGTAAGGGGTCCCTAATGTTGAAAAACACCACAATGTGAGTGTTGTTTCAACATCGGCCAAATGGGAAGCCAACAGATTGTTGTCCCTGAGAACACCTTGACACAAACGACACAAGGCGCTGCTTTGTCCACTCCAGGCAGGTCGAGTTTCATTGGGAATAGGGACAGTGGCGTTTGCAGTGCCTAAGGTTTTAGGAGGCCAGTGCAACTCCGGGGCTTGCCGTGGAATGCGAGGTTCGTTCGTTCGCATTCTACGCGAGCGTAGCATGTTGCGTTTCAAGGTC